GTCGGATGCATGGCCTATGCTGAGACGAAGTCTTATGCCTTGCTTTATAGCTCACGTGGGTAAGATGGATTTTAGAGACATGGGAGGCTCATGAATTGCAATGGTGAAAAAGGAGGCGGCTTTTGAGTGGCCGAAAATCGTACTCGTTAGATCCTCGACGCCAAGATCTCCTCAACAACAAAATTTGGAGCGAGCAGACTATTGGAAGATCGAATCTTCCGCTTTCCTATAACTTCTTGACTTCTGCCGAACTCATCAGATTGCACCAGTGTTGTTTACGATCTTCACCATCCCGATTCGTGAGTAGTTCGAGGCTGAGCTTCAGCTAGCTTGAAGGAAGCACTAATTGAGTCTGACCTCTCCGATTGTTCGAGGAAGTCCTTGAAAGCAACGAAGGATATACCTCGACGATCTAGCATGGCCCTCCTCGCGGCGCTATCGACGCGGCACGCCCACCAACTGGCCACCTAGCTGCGGGTCTCTAGTCGTTTTGCTACGTTAGCGTTGAAGAGGCAGCACCGATGAGTCGCATCAATGCGGAAATCAACGGACAACGTAGGGGTCCCATTGCTCGGGTTCTGGGCCTTTTTTCACGGGTTTTTCCAAGGGAACAAGGAAAGGGTAATTTTCAATCCATTTTTTCCCATGAAGTGTGTCGTCCAAACACATTCCACAGCATTAGCATGCAATTTATTGCAAATAATTTTCTAATAAGGTATTATGAGTGGCCTGTAACATACATTCACTCGGTTTATACAAAATGAAAACAACAACAGAAATATACCGGTAATAAGAAACACGGAACAAACCGATGGTAAACGAAGGCACTATGCAACAGGGAAAAATGGCCAACTCATGACACACCACGGGGTTGCACATAGCGCTAAACTAGGTCAGTAAAACGAGTGAAAGAGAGGCGATTCATACGCCATTTTAAACAGCCGCACTCATTCCGCAGTTGGCAGCGTTGTTGACATCGCCGCTGCCGAGATCGGGCGTCGGTGGTTCTTTCTCGCATTCAGCTTGACGTCTCATTCCAGGCTTCACCTCATCATCTTGAGTATTTTCCGACTCGGCTGCGTGTCCAGAATCATTCGACGCATTGAGACTCTATAATAATAGCGTAAGGGTTACAATGTAAGGGACTTTCATCTAAACACCTTTAGCATATGGGCACTGTACGAACAATTAGCGCATATATTTTCATACCCGAATGACATCAAGGGGTGAAAACGAAAAGATTTTGTACCACTGAATGCCGCTAACTTTTTCCAAGTGAAGTAACTGAAGGTGATGTTTAGGCGGTCATGCCCTTAGATGTTCGCACTCATGAATATATGTGGGTGAGGCAGGGACCAAGAGGGTGATTGAAGAAGGTGGTAGCAACTGATAAGAACTGATAAGGGGCGTCAAAGTGTGGATACCACCAGTTTCGTTGCGGCCCTCGCGGTGACATTGGAACCTTGGCTCTCACATGTGGTATAGGGGATGGGACGGGAACACGGATAGTGGGTGATCAAAAGTGATAACAACCGATAACGGTTGATAAGGAAGTTAGGATTTTGAGTACCGCTGATTTCGTTGTAGCCTTCGTGGTGACAGTAAATATTAGCTCCTACACGATGGGACGGAGATACGGTGAATGTGGGTGACAGAAAGGGGTATGAAAGGCAGGTGCACTAATAAAAATAGCGACAATTGAGTGTGCACTCGGTTAAACTGAACCAGATTCCTAGCACGGGAATATGTTCCATTTCCTACCCTTTCATCTAAAAAAGCAAAGGAAAGTTGAGCTGCTCCACTATCTGGACTTGGACTAATAGCGAATAAATCATATTTCCAATTTCCATCATCGGTTGATGCTGATTGATTGGTTATATTTCACTTACACACCGATTCTTCAATTGTGGAAATTCTATAAACCGCTAAATCGCCCGAGCTCGATATCAATGCTAAATGTTTACGAAGTCATGATAAGTACCATTTTCATTCCGCATGCTACTGCGCGCATTACGCGACAATCTTCAGCGAAAATTGGACAACCTTTAAACATTCATGTGACACATCTTCCAAAACATCC